TGTGAGGTAGCAAACTAAAATGAGTAGCAAACTAAAATGAGTTTGAAGCTTCATTTATAGCTCAGCTTCTACAAATGAAAGAGCAAATGAAGGAGGAGATGATGAGCATGATGAGCTCACGACAGGAGACAACTGCTGAACCAGTTCATATGTCTCTTGCATTTCATAGTACAAAGGGAATAATGTTTTTAAGCATGTGTCGAGGGTCCTTCTAGTGACAACATTGGTGAACTATGTGAGATATTTCTAGAAGATCTTGATAAATGCTTGGTTGCTCTTAGTAGCATCTACAGCTTGGGGTCAACCATCCACCACAAGCAAATTCAAGATGATCAAGTAAAAGTGGTGGTTGCAGATCCAAAAGTGCTAGATGCTTTGGTTCCATTCCCTACCGATGAGGTGAAGACTACGATTAAAGTTGTTGGCAATTTTATCCTATGGCCCAAGAGACTTGTGAGTTTGGTTCAAGCTGTGGTATGAAATTTCATAAATTTTTATTATGTAACAACTTTCTAATATATGTTTTTTATTAACTATTTCTTGCCTTTTTATTATGTAGAAGCTTTCCTTGTCGAATCTCCCGAAACTTTCACAACCCTTATTGACTTTGCATCAGCAAATGATCTTAATGACGTATGATTTATCATTCGAATTCAAGAGTTTAGAAATGGATCTAAAGGTTGTGGGTAAGAAAGACATGATAGTGACAATTGAACGGGAAGATTTGGTTCGACTTCTATCGAATAATCAGCTTACCACACCACACATTGAATTATTTATGATGTAAGTATGTTTTTCTTTAATATAATTGCATTATTGTAAGTAAACTTAATCATCAAGTTTAATAAACTAATATAATTGCATTGTTGTAAGTACCTTCATCACTTGTACATTACATTGGGCAAAGGTGATAAGTTTGGATTCCTTTGTCCTCATCACATGACAGAGAAAGTTAATACTCCAGAGTTAAGGGCCGCGTTCCTCTAACAGAGAATATGTAAAGTCAAAAAGGACATTTTTATAGCTCCATATGTGCGCTCATAAGGATCAATTTATAATTAATAGTTTTTTTCAATATGGTTTTACTTTAACTTGTATCATATTTAACAGGGACCATTGACAGTTATTTGTTCTTTCAATGAAGAGCAATACTGTCATCTTTTTATGCTCCCTCTATTACAAACTTAGGAAAGAAATGAAGAAGACAATAGACTTGTAAGAATACTTTTACTAAACTATTTAATTTAATTTTTTTGAATATTTTTACTAACTTGGTGATCTTGATCATAGGGCAATGAGAATAGATCAAAATGTAGTCTTACAAAAGTATGGACGTGAGCTCAAGGATCCCACATGGATTGAGCCAAAGGTAATGCTATACTTTATTAATATGTTCAATTATTAAGATTTCTTACTCATTTTTTATGATTTATTCTTATACAGATTCAGACAACCGGTGAGGACGAACTTGTGCGGTCTATATGTCATGAGACACATGCTCAATATTATCACATTAGGCATGACCAAATTTACAAAAGAGGTAAATATATTTTTAAAATTTTTATTTTATTATGTTATTTGAGATTGATTAATACGCCTATTTTATGAATCAAATTTTAATGTTCGACAATTCGAATGCATTTCCTAAAGCTAAAATTGAAGACATTCTATACATTGGGCAACCTATTTTGTGGAGAACTTGTGAAGTTTTTTGTTACTTTTAGACATGTTTTAATTTTGATAGTTGACACAATTTAGACAATTATTAGTTTTTTTAATAGTTAAATAGTTTTGTATAGTTGATAAATACTTGATAAACAATTGTAAATGAAATGAGCTGTCTGATTTAGCAATTTTTATGCACAGAAATGGCAATTTTGACAATTTAGATAATTGTTAGTTTTTTTAATAGTTAAATAGCTTTGTATAGTTGATAAATACTTGATAAACAATTATAAATGAATTGAGCTATTTGATTTGGCAATTTTTATGCACAAAAATGGGTAAAATTAATAAAATAAATATAGTATAAAAAAATTAAATACTTTTTACACCAGTTATTACCATAACCGCTGTAGAATATAATATTTTTTACATCAGTTATGGAAATAACTAGTGTTAAAAGTAGACTTTTAACATCGGTTGGCATCCCAACTAGTGTTAAAAGTTAAAGTAAATTTTTTTTATTTTCTTGTATGTAATTTTCAACATCAACTTTATAACCGATGTAAAAATATTAGTTTTTACATCAGGTTTATAACTGATATAAAAAGAGAGACTTTCTACACTCCCTGGAACAACATCGCCTATTTAACCGCTGTAAAAAGTCATTTATACTAGTATATGGCCGATTCACATTGATATATAAAGGGTTTATCATTGATATACAAAGAGTTTATCATTAAAACTTTAAAAATTTAAAAATTTACAAGGAGTTTATCATTGATATACAATGACATATCATTCACAAATATAATAAACCGGCCATAATGAAAAATATAATAAATGTTAAGCACTAGTAAAATTGACAAATATTTTTTGTTAATTTCTCAGCGATAGTAAAATTCACAAGTGATAGCTTGTGATTCACAATTGACTCTTATAATTTTCCAACTAACATTATAAATAATTTCAAGTATATTTTTTAAATTTTTTAAGTTATTTATCTATATATTGATAGTAAAAAAAATTACAAATGATTAGCTTGCGATTCACAATTGACTCTCGTAAAAATATTTTATATTTTTTAATGGAGGGAGTATACAAAATAATATTTGAAATTACTCCCTTGTGTAACCATTGATGTTGGTGTGTTTAAAAGGAATCCCTTTTCTATTAACTCTAATTCATTACCCCCTTTTTTTTTATTAATTATGACAAATAGCATGATGCTAATTTTTCATGTTTGCATGTCCTTATAACTTCACTCTGTTTTGAATTAGATTTCTATAATTCATTTTGTTTTAATCACCCTCTTATAATTTAATCGATTATATATGTTAATCCCAAAAATGTAAAATTTTTGAAATTTTTTTAAAATAAAAGTGATTAAGAAGTTGTATACTTTTTAATATATATAACTTTGAAAATAATTAATAATATTTTTACAATTTAGAATTTATATACAGGTTATGTTTTCTAATTTTTCATATATATGGATTTTTACAAAAATTTTAATAAAAATGTAAATATTGTATTAAATTAACTTTTTTTCTTTTTTAGCCAAAACTACTACTTTGAATTTATATAAATTTTAAAAAAATTAATTATTTATTAATAATTTCAACCTCCAAAAGATCTAGAAGATAAAACTTTAAGAATTGAGTTGAAATAAAATAAGTTACAAAGATTTAATTTAAAATTAAAAAACTATAAGAACTTATAGATAATATTTTTTAGTGTAATATGTTTTCTATAAGAAATCCTTACCACCTAGATTTAATGTAAAATGTTCAAATTCATGATATAATATATTTTTTGGTACTGCTTACAATATAAGGCCTTCAACTGGTTTTAGTATCAGCTCACTGAAACATCCCTTCAATGTCGCCATTGAGCACTATTATTATTATTATTCGTGTTTTTATTCGGTATTTGCTATTTACAAGCTTTAAGTGCTGCCAAATATCCTGTTTGAATTGTACAACCAATCCATTGCTTTATTAGTGGGTATGTTATTGCAATTTTCTCAAAACACTTAATAAGAAGTTCAATCTAATCACGGCTATAGTATGTAATAATAATTTATACAATCAAGCACAAGAACTTACAATCAGAATCTATTTTTTAATTTTAACAATATATAAAAATTTTCCCTCAAAGAGTAAAAAATTTATATTTAGTTATTTTCATTCAAATTTCAGTTATATTTATCTTTTTCCCTCGTTGACCTCACATCTATGTATAGTTATACTCAACAATTCAATGACTTTCAATTATTTAGAACACGTATACTAATTATATAAACTTTGATGTATAAAAATTATGTAATTAATTTTAAAGTTATATATATAATCTTTTAATAAAAATATAAGTTCTTTATTTTATTTTTTAAAAGAAAGATTTTAATCTTCAAAAATTAATAAATATGATAGATCATACTATAAAGCTCAATTAATACAAAATAAAAATAAATAAATGATAAAGACTTAATTGAAAAATAAATTGAAATTTTAATATGTTGATTAATTTTTCCAAAAATACAAAACAAAAAATTACACTAAAAAGACCAATTTTTCAAGTGTGTGCAAACCATTAAATTATTTGATTATATGATGCATACTTAACAATGATTAAAAACCCTGATGGTAAAAATATGGTATCTCTACTTTATTTTCTTTCCCAAACAAATATCCACTGATTACTTGCAATTTACCCGCACAAAATATAATGGTAGCAACAAGGGTACTATACTACCAACGGCTTAAACAAGTAAAATCACCATTGAGAGGAACAACACTGTACTATATATACAAGTTTCACAGAATGTGATTGTTTATAAATTCATTGTCCAAAATCAGTATAGGCGTGATATACTAATAAATAAACAAATAAATACATTATAAAATAAATGAACCAATAAAAGGACTAAGGTCATTCAAGCTAAAAGCCTAAATGAGTAAGATTTGTGTGATGGCTACTGCAGTCACCCAGTATTCATCTGCCTAGAAGCTCTTCTCTCATCTTAACAATCATTTATGCTTTTATTAAAAGAAATAAAAAAAAAATTTCTCTCTCAAGTTCAATATTCACAAAAAAGAAAGGCTAATTCTTTTTTTTTAATTATTAAAATATGTTAGAACAATATATGCCTGTTCATTGAATCTGGAGGATCCCATATGACATATAGCAGCAAAACTAGGGATTCAGATTCAAATGTCAGGGAATGAATCTCCCAAGTAGTCTCAAAGTTCCCATAAAAACCCATAAAAAAGCACATAAAGCAACAAGAACTGGCAAGAAAAGGAAGATCCCCTTTCCTTTACCTGCTCTCTTCATAATCACATTTTCATTGCCTGAAGCAACAGGGCAGCATCGATGCTTGCCTGCTTCACATTATCTCTCACCCTACTAAAGCTAGACACCCGCTCAAGAGCCCGATTTGCATTTTCTGCAGCTCACGCAGGAGTAGTAGAAACTAGCAGATATTAGAGATAGTCTATATGTTTTTTCCTTTTTGTCTTTTTTTATATGACAGCCACTTCAAACAAGCTCAAGTCACATTAATGTTAGTATCGAAAGCTCTCAAAGATGCCACAACACTAATAGTCAAGGAAGGTTTCTGCCATGCATCAGCAGGCTATCAGCCAATAGCAGTCAACTTCAAAGAGTTCAGCACAAATGAGATGTGAAGCTCGCAACTCCATTTAAATCAAAGATAGTAAAATCGTTATTTTGGAGTTGAGATAAACCACCAACTCTGTTTCTGGCGCTGATGAGTGTACCTGAGGTTGACGAAGAGAAAGAAACATTAGCATGTTCTGTTGGACTCATGATATGCCTTTCATGACGCATCCGGAGTTCACAACTTTGATCCGCATTGTCCCCAAGGGGTAGAGATTGATAATGCTGATTGACAACATTACTCTCCAAAGTATTCACATAAGGATGTGAAGCAGTTTCCTGGTCAACATGCCCCATGTCGCGAAGAAACATCTCTGCATCATGGGACAAGTCAAATGCACTTAAATCCATCTTCAAACTCCAAGTTCTCCACAGGATTTCTATTTCTGGCAATGCTGGTTCAGGATCAATGAGATCGTTCATTTCCAAGAAGTCATCCTCATGAAAGAGAGGCTCCTCTAACTGAACTCTGGGAGCAGAAGAAACTTCAGGTGCTTCAGAAACATGCATGTGAGAGGTAGCTGATTGGCTGTGGTCATAGCAGTGACCACTTAAATGAAACATTTTGATTGGCTCTGCAATTGTCGCTTCCTTTGCAATTTGATCCTCCACAGCACTATCTGTTTCTTCAGCAGGAACCTATAATGGATGATCATTAAAAACAATGGCTTGACCGAGTAAAATAGAAGACCAGAAGCACAATCACATATACTCTCAATCTCAGACAATATTCTTTTCTACTTACCCAAAGTCGATGCAATGTCATAGCTTTTATCTTGGCATGACTCGTGTAGGCTAACATTCCTTTGAGAGCAAGATTTTGTAAACTATCATGGGGTTCCAAGGGCTAGAGAACAATATCTTGAAAACTACCATGGGAAAGGAAGAGGAGAGAATCCTCGCCCAGTGTTCCTTAGCAACTTGAAAGTTCAGAATTCCATTTCTCTGTTGTAAGCCTGGTGATATTGGCTGAATTTTGAATTACAGTGAATCGATCATTATTTAGGTGAATATTCCAATCCATGGCATTCATCTATATTGCTTGATTTTCTTTTTGGTTGTTTGACATCACATTCTCCACACACGCACAAAATTCTCATGATAATTATATATGGTGATGAATGATTGGCTGCTAATGCTCTTTTGCTTCCATGGATAAATTTGAATTGTAATATGAGACATATATATATATATATATATATAGATCTTTAGCAATTTGTCTATTAATTAGATGACAGCATGAAATGAAAGAGGAAGTCTCTGTTTTTCTCTGTTTGGTCTCACTCACACAGAATATTGGATGCAATAATATTGGACTAATATTATGTACCATTAATAGTTTGCAAAAACAAAATTAACGAACAAAATGCTATTCTAACCAATTAATGATAACCCCATGATAGTTTGTAAAGGCCATGTCTTAGTTCCCTCAATTAATTATTTGATTAGATTTGGTCCAAGAAAAATGGATCAGCCTATCAATGTACAATCCAATATGAGAAGTCCAACAATATCCAATGGCAACAGTAACAACAAATTGAATTAATAATGATAATTTTTATCCAAAACACATCAACAAATTCATAATTTTAATTTGGTCCTTTGCCACGAGTTCCATGACATATAAAGACGTATATCCAATTCCTTATTTTATCATGACCTTCCTTGATTCACGTGCAATTAATTTTACGTGGGACAAAAAATATTATGAGAATCTACTCCTCATGCTCGAAAAAAAAAATTATAATCAATTTTTTAAAATTATATCAATCATTTAAATTGAATTGATATAGATGCATTAATTTAAAATTTATTTTCATATATATATGGAGAGAGATGATAAATTTTCAATGTTTCTTGTCTATAGATTTTTGTGCATCATAGATAAGGTTAAATGTTCGATCTATTCAAATAAAATAAAAATGTAAAAAATAATTTTATAATTTCATTCATCAACAGAAAATACATAGTAGTCATCACTTGAAATACATCACTTTAAAAGTAATATTGAGATCAAAACTAATCATATTTGAAATAAGATATACTTAATTAGTTAATAATTGCCCATTATTTTTTACATAATATTAAGATAATAAAATTAATATAAAATTGAAAGCATACAAAGTTTTCACGAGAATCATAAACTTAATGTGTTATATGAGAAATATTAATAAAAATAATACTACAAAATAATAAGCATTCACAAAAATAAAAAAGAAAACATGTGTTTGTCGGCTCAGTGGATTGGATAACTTGATTGGATCTGCTAAACAGCTAGACCACTTGTAGGTGAAATGTTGGCAAAATTAGTGACTAACAATAAAATACGTTTAGTATAAGTGCATTAAATATATTAAATAATAATGTTTATGGAAACAATATGTGTTAAGAAAACATACTAAGATATCATGCCTGCTTGAGATGGAATAATTTTGAAATAAAACATGGAACCACATTTAATGCCAGAGTGTAACTCAATGAATATGATTATTTTAAATAGGAGAACACCTATGTGCAATATAAAAACATGACATGATCGCATACCTCAAATGAGATCAAACTAAATTTAATATTCTTTTAATTGAATTTCAAATATTGATTAACTACAAAAAAAAAATTTAAGTTTAGGATTGTTTTGGCAGGACAAATTTTAAGAAAAACCAAACTCTTTGAATTGAATTTCAAATTAAATTTAAACACATTACAGTATGATAGTGTAATTTTTTAAATTAAGTAATAAAAATTGAAAGAAATGGTAGAATGAAATTATGAATTCATTGATTTAGGCTTACAAAAATTATTTTTTAATAATTATTATTATAAAAAAAATTATTAGTTTGAGGTTTGGTTCATATCACCTTTTAGTTAAGGGTTGATTTGCACAAGCATGTTGCTCTTGGTTAATGAAAATATGAGTATTATTTTCAGAGTTGGTTGCTGGATTGTATTGTTAATTATATTCCAGATGTTTTTTCGAGCAGTGGGGGCTCATGTTAGGTATGTTAACATCTTTTATGTCGTTTCATATCTAAAAGTGATTTATACCAATTAACCTCTGCTAAAAACTTCAACATCATATATATATATATATATATATATATATTTATTATATTATATATATTGGCCCGACATATATTTTATATATAAATTAAATATGATACAAAGATAATAAAATTAATATAAATTTTAAATAAGGTTAGAAAAATTGAAATCATATAAAGTTTGCATGAAAATCATAAACTTAATGTATTATATGAGAAATATTAAAAAAAACATATAATACTACAAAAAAAGCATGTTGGGGCTAATCGTTGGATTGGATGACTTGACTAGGTCCACAAAACAGCTAGACCCCTTGTGGGTGAAATGTTGGCAAAATTAGTGACCAACAATAAAATACAAGAGAAAGGCTTGTATACTTAACATATTTTTTATTCAATTAAATCAAAATATATAAAATTTAATATATTAATAATATTAATAACAAAAATTTGTTATACATTAAATAATTTATAAAAGATACATATATGTCTTGGTTTGATTAAAAACAAGTATTTTAAGTATATAAGTTTTTTTTCCAAAATACAATTAGTGTAAGTGCATTTAATATATTAAATAATAATGATTATGGAAACAATATATGTTAAGAAAATATACTAAGATATCATGCTTGCTTGCAATGGAATAATGTTGGAATAAAACATGAAACCATATTTAGCGCCTGACAATGCCTCGATGAATATGATTGTTTCCATTAAAAGAACGCCTAAGTTCAATATAAAAACATGACATGATCACATACCACAAGTGGGACCAAACTAAATTTATCATTCTTTTAATTGAATTTCAAATATTGATTAATTACCAAAAAAATTTAAAGTTTAGGATTATTTAGGTAGGATAAATTTTAAGAAAAAACAACTTCTTTGAATTGAATTTCAAATTAACTTCAAAAAAATTACAATATAAAAGTGTAACTTTCTTAATTAAGTAATAAATAATTAAAACAAATAGTAAAATGAAGGTGGTGTTAAAATTTTGTTTAGTGCTCTTAGCCCCAAAAAAACTACAAAAATAATAGTAACAACCATTTGTTTGGGCTTTGGCCCAAAAAATTTTAAAAAAAAGCTCATTGCTTTCCTACTCTCTCTATATTCACTCTTTGTGACATAATTAATTATTTCCCCTTTTTGCTAAGTAAGCAAAAATATATAAATTAATTTGAGTAATTAAATATTGAGTAAGTATTTATTTAATAGTGTTGCAATAGTTGATAATAGTCAATCATCAATCAATTGTTTTTGCTATGAAATACCTTATGCGCGCTAATTCATATTCATTAATGACAGCAATAATTATTGTTTTAAGTAATTTGTTACAACAGAAAATATAAATTAATTCGTGCAGTTGCATGGAATTTAAATCTGAAAATAATAAAAACTTTAAAAAATATAAATTTAATTTATCAAAAATTAGTTTACAATAATATCAAAATAAATTAATAATAATAAAACTATAACACTTGCATATTCTATTTTTATATAATATATTAATCATCATTTGCAATTGAAATCGTCTGACGGAGTCAAATAACTTCATATTGTCACTATAAACTTCTTGTCTCTCTTCATTTTCTCAACGTCCTTGTTCCTGAAAATCCAAGATACAAACATGTCTATTTGAAAATGATGTCTAAAATTGTTTTGTCAAAAGAGCTTGATGTGTGATTTTAAGTTATGGTACGTTTGAATCAATGAGAATTCAGGTTTGAATTCAATCCAAATCTCTCATTTAGATACAAAAAAATTTATACTAGTCCATTTCTTGTTACAATTTCTTTAAATTTTAAATTCTCTGTACCTAATAATTTGAAATTCCAGTCATTTCAATCAACCCAAACACTACCTTGATGAATTTGAAAATGTGTTCGATGTTAACAAGATATCACACTAATATAACTTTAATTTATCCAATATCTGATAGCAAAAATTATGTTATGTCTTGGGCCAAGTAATCAATACCATTTGCGTTTAATTGTACCAAAAACAAAACAACTGTTTTAGCCTTCTTCTTTTAAGGGAGAATGGCAGTAGTAAAGTTCTAGAGGGTATTATTTACAGTAAGGTCCCAATACATTTTTTTTTTTGAAAAAATAAATTACAAATATTGATTTAGTCAATTATAAAGAAAAATATCAAATACAAACTAACAGTTGCATTTAAAATTTAAATATTTTATTCGTAAGTGAAACTCTTAAAAATTTACAATTCTTTGAATTGTGATTTGGAACTTACTTTTCAGATAAAAAAATCCAACTAACTAAATTATCATTAGTTTTCTCTTTCAATACTTCACTGTCATTCTTCTTTAAAAAAGAAAAAAGAAAAAAAAATAATGGGCCATTACATCGAAGACCCTGGTCTATTTGATGACCACAAATGATAAGACCTAATAAACTTGAACAGAATATACAAAGCCTCCTACTGGCTTTAGCATCAACTCATTGAAACATCCCTTCAATGTCGTCGTTAAGCACTATTATTATTATTTCATGTTTTTATTTGGTATTTACAAGCTTTAAGGGCTGCCAAATATCCTGTTTGAATTGCATAAATAATCCAATGTTGTATTAGGGTATGTTACTGCAATTTTTCTCAAAATACTTAATAAGAAGTTCAATCTAATGAGGGCTATAATATGTAATATTAGTTTATACAATCAAGCCTACCACAAGGACTTATAAATGGTAGTCAGAATCTATTTTTAATTTTAAAAATAAAAAAAAATTCCTCAAAGAATAAAAAATTTATATTAAGTTACTTTCACTCAACTTTCAGTCATTTACCATTTTCCCTTCGTTGACCTCACATCTATTTATAGTTATACTCCACAATTCAATTACTTTTATTTATTATTAGAATACTACTAATTATATAAATTTTGATGTATAAAAAATGTGTAATTACTTCTAAGAAGTTCTTCATTTTATTTTTTAAAGAAAAATTCAATTCAAAAAATTACTAAACATGATAGATCATACTGTAAAAGCTCAATTAAAACAAAATAAATTATAAATACTTAATTCAAAAATTAACTGAAATTTTAAGGAGATGATGGTTAATTTTCCCAAAAATAAAAAACATAAAAATTACACTATAAAAAGACATTTTTATTTTAAAATATGAGTATGGCACAATTCTCTATATAAAATGACATTTTCCTATTTTTCAAGTGCGTAAAAATTATTAAATTATTTGATTTTATGATGCAAACTCAGTATTTATAGATAAAAACCACTTAATAACAAACAATGATTAAAAACCTCGACAGAAAAAAATATGATATCTCTACTTTATTTTTTTCCCGAACAAATATCCCATCGATTACTTGCAACTTACCTGCACAAAATATAATGGAAGCAACAAGGATACTATACTATATATACAAGTTTAAACAAGTTAATAAAATTTTAAAATTACAATAGAGAGGAACAACACTATACTATATATACAATTTCACAAGAATGTGATTATTTATAAATTCTTTGTCCAAAATCAGTATTGGCGTGTTATACTAATAAATAAACAAATAAATACATTATAAAATAAATGAACCGATAAAGGAACTGAAGTCATTCAAGCTAAAAGCCTAAATAAGTAAGATTTGTGTGATGGCTGCTGCAGTTACCCAGTATTCATCTACCTAGAAGCTCTTCTCTCATCTTAACAGTCTTTCAGGATTTTTTGAAGGAAAAAAAAAAAAAAAAAAAAACTCTCCTCTCAAGTTCGATATTCACAAAACAGAAGGGTAAATTCTTTTTTTTTCAATTATTAAAATATGTTAGAACAATATATGTCTGTTCATTGAATCTGGAGGATCCCATACGACATATAGCAGCAAAACTAGGGATTCAGATTCAAATGTCAGGGAATGAACTCCCAAGTAGTCTCAAAGTTCCCATAGAAACCCATAAAAAGGCACATAAAGCAACAAGAACCGGCAAGAAAAGGAAGATTCCCTTTCCTTTACCTGCTCTCTTCATGATCGCATTTTCATTACCTGCAGCAACAGCGGCAGCAGCCATGCTTGCCTGCTTCACATTATCTCTCACCCTACTAAAGCTAGACACCCGCTCAAGAGCCCGATTTGCATTCTCTGCAGCTGATGCAGGAGTAGTAGGTATTGACTCAAGGAAGGCCCAGAGAGCAGAAGACAGTCTACTTGTAGGAACTTGTCTCACACTGCCACTTTGATTACGGTTACCTTCAGTAGGCAAGCTGGCAGATTCATAAACCACACCTATACATATGACCAGAAACTAGCAGATATTAGACATAGTCTATATGTTATTTCTTTTCTTTTTTTTTTTATACAACAGCCACTTCAAACAAGCTCAAGTCACATTAATGTTAGAATCGAAAGCTCTCAAAGACGCCACAATACTAATAGTCAAGGAAGGTTTCTGCCATGCATCAGCAGGCTATCAACCAATAGCAGTCAACTTCAAAGAGTTCAGCACAAATGAGATGTGAAGCTCGCAACTCCATTTAAGTCAAAGATAGTAAAATCGTTATTTTGGAGTTGAGATAAACCACCAACTCTGTTTGTGGCGCTGATGAGTGTACCTGAGGTTGACGAAGAGAAAGAAACATTAGCATGTTCTGTTGGACTCATGATGTGACTTTCATGACGCATCCAGAGTTCACAACTTTGATCCGCATTGCCTCCAAGGGGTAGAGATTGATAATGCTGATTCACAACATTACTCTCCAAAGTATTCACATAAGGATGTGAAACAGTTTCCTGGTCAATATGCCCCATGTCACGAAGAAACATCTCTGCATCATGGAACAAGTCAAATGCACTTAATCCATCTTCAAACTCCATGTTCTCCACAGGATTTTCTATTTCTGGCAATGCTGGTTCAGGATCAATGAGATCGTTCATTTCCAAGAAGTCATCCTCGTGAAAGAGAGGCTCCTCTAACTGAACGCTGGGAGCAGAAGTGACTTCAGGTGCTTCTGAAACATGCATGTGAGCGGTAGCTGATTGGGTAGGGTCATAGCAATGACCGCTTGAATGAAACATTTTGATTGGCTCTGCAATTGTCACTTCCTTTGAAATTTGATCGAGCACATCTTCAGCAGGAACCTATAATGGATGATCATAAAAAACAGAGTTAATGATCAATCATGCCAAATAAAATAATGTAGCAACCAATAATGATTGAATTACGAGAACTGCAAGTTAAATTATGTTTAAATGACATCATGCCAGAAATTAACATGTAGCAGTAAAGTCATCATAAGCTGTTCAGAGAAAAAAATGGCTTGGCCAAGTGAAGCGGAAGACCAAAAGCACAATCACATATACTCTCAATCCCAGACAATATTCTTTTCTACCTGCCCAAAGTCCATACAATGTCATGGCTTTTATGGAATGTTAGCCTACATTAGTCATGCCAAGATCAGAGCAACGAAGATAAAATTGATGAATAAAATCACCTTTCTACAAACCGCAACCACAAAAAGAAAGAAAAAAGCCACAATTGAAGTGATACAATAAAAAGAACAAATATTGAGATAATGATGGACCCAGTGATAATCAATTTACAGTGTTTATGTTAGTAAAAGAAGAAATAATAACAAAGTTTGGTCAAATGTCTCACAGTGTGTGTGAATAGAGAAGAGAGAATGATTTGGTTTCTTCATGGGTTTTAGGCATAATGAACGGGAAGAGAAAAAAAGGAAGATTTTCCAAGGGAGGAGACCAGTAGGCATTTTGAAACCAGGAATCATTGCTGTACTTCTTTTTTCTCTCTTACAACATGCTTCAGCTAAATATTTGTTCTGCCACCTATTCCTCCCCATTTCTGTCAACTGAGAAGGATAGGCAGCTTATGCATAAACAAAACCAGAGTTCTGAAGGTTCCATCAGAAAACGAACCTGAGGTAAGGCAGGACACAGTGAAGGCAGGTCAGGAACCAGCTCATCCATCATTCTTTTCAAGACCTCATCAAGGTCAAGATCAAACAAAGGCTGCGCTTGACCATTACAAGTCCCAGTGTGAACAGAAGGACCCTCATCAACTTGTGAAATTGGAGCCTCATCAGCTGAATTAACATTAACATCTACAAAGTCATCATCTCCCCATTCTTCTTCTATAAATGGCGCACCATACTGTTCACCATTTTTAGGACCAGGTCCGCTTTTCTTGAACACCTTGTAAAGGGCATAATAGTCCTGATAATTTTCATATTAAAACACAAAGTTTAGTAAATAATACGTTTTCACTATCAATATGAGTTTGAAAAGACAAAAAAGAAAAGTTAGAAAAAGCAGAAGGGACAGTTGAAGATGACACCTTAAAATTTTGGCATCTTGCAACTTCTTCTTCTTCTAATGTGTACTCATGCATAACCCAATCAGTTCGCTCACCATGTGGTGCTCTACCTCTATAGAAAACCAGGGTCTTTTTCACCCCAACTGTCCGAGAATTGTAGGTAATGTTACGATCTTTTCCTGTTGCTTTCCAGTATCCATATCTTGTTGCTCGATTAGTCCTGCCACTATTAGGATACTTTCTATCTCTAGGGCTGAAAAAGAACCATTGCCTATCTCCAGTTTTCAGCACTGACTGCCCTACAAAATGTTCCAATTATAAGCAGATAAGCAAACGAGAAGGTTGACAAACAAAGTTAACTGATCATATTAAAGGGTAAAAAAATATTCGAAATTAAAAGTCACCATTCACGCTGATGAAACACAAAGAAGAAAAGCTAATGTTGGATATAAATAAGGACAGAATGGCTAGAGAGATACGGGCATGTATCTAACATTCTCAAGCATTAAGACATCCGCAACTTCTTTTTCCAAACCACGACTTCCATAAACGGTTGTCTTGCACACAATATCAATCCTAAACAAAATCAGAAATCCATTAATAACCTTACATTCCAACAGGTACTTATGTCGAGAGATTTGTGCGGAAACTAAAAATGCTTGTCGGTATGTGATTCGCGCAAGAGGTCTGAACACACCCAGATAATGCCTTGTTCATCAAATTTAGCAACTAATTATCAATCTGATATCACAGTCAAATCAAAGGAATAGAAACTCATCCAAACGCCAAACGATCAAAACGCATTCGCAGAATCACATGCCAAATAAACAATAATTTAAGCTTCAACTGCTTCCTATTCTAACCAATTCGAACCACAATAACATATTACACAATAAAATTCACGGACAAGAAGATCTAAGTTCATACCCTATTTAATATCAAACCGAACAAACAAAATATAAAACCCAAACCCTAACACCAACGACCCGCAAACCCCCCACCGAAAAAACCAAAGTCAACGCCTACGCAAACAAAGATGATTTCGAGAGTAGAACAAATACCAGGCAATTCCTCAGGATCCCACTTGTAGACATCAATTTCACGAATTACATCGAGCTTCAGCTTCCTCCTACACATCTTCCTCTTCAGATAGTACATGACTAGTTCCTCATCGGTAGGATGGAACCGAAACCCCGGCATCGAAGCCATCATCCGGCTGAAACACTCTGGAGAAGAATCCGACGCCACCGTCATTTTCGATTCAATCCCGAACAAAAAGAAAAAAACGAAATTCCAGATTTCCCACAAACAAAAACCACTCCTTGGATCCAAAATTAGAATCAAGAAGCCACTAATCAAAAACTACATGATCCGATAGAAAATCCTAGGGGTGAGAGTGAGAAATCAGAGACAGTGTGATCGTGTGAAAGAGGTCGAAATGAATTTCCGCGACGCTATCGAATGAGAGAGATAAAGGGCTTTGTTCGGACTTAGGGATAGTGTTGCGGTCAAACAAGCAACTGGGCATTGCTCGGTCTACCAGTGGCCCTTGAAGAAGTTTCCCGGAAGCGCCAACGAGTAAGAGAGAGTGAAGATTCACTGATTCAGTAGTTTCGGGACTGAATGGTCCTGTGACGTCACCATGTGTGACAGCCGCCAGATCTGAGTGTGTTGGATCAATAGCAAAGAAAATCTCAACCGTCCATGTTAAAAGTGGAAGGTTTGAATCTAATTTTATTTTATGTTTTAGATTTTTAAAATTTAATATTTTAATAAGAATATAATATAATCTTCACTCAAAAAAACATAGAAAAAAAATTATATACTAAATATTATATGCTAAATGCATGAGATGCTTATTTTCTATCAAATGAAAGCATATATATTTTATATATTATTTATTATACAATAAATTCTTATTCTTGTTATCAATATTCTTAACACTTTAAATTTACCTGTTCATATTTGATTTTTCCCAGGAATATATTAAGTGTATAAAAATAAATATTTAAGTATTTTTCAATAAAATGTGAATAAAGGTAATTTTTTTATAATTGCCGGGTTGAAAAAATTGATCAGGTTTTTAACTTAAAAATTGGTATAGGTAATGTTTCAAATATTGGCATGAAAACCAAGTTTCATTGGAATCAATTTTTTTTTTTTAGCAATCCTTTTGATTTGGCTTCAATATTTTTTATGGTCAAATTAATCAAACACCATGGATTGATCATTTTTATATATTTATTATAATATAATTTAAATAAAACGAAAAATAAATGGATATTACACCTCAAATCTCAAAATATAAATAAATAAAAGAACGTGAACAAAATATATTAATCAAAAATTAAAATAAAGACAAACTGAGGGTATTACAGAGAAAGGTGATTCATTTTGGATTCAATGAAGGCTGATTAGAGTGTGAGGCTTTAGAGAACATGGTCTTATGGTGGACTTTGGTGCATGTGATTATACCCACAAGTGTGAACATGGTTTCATGAGGGAATTGTTTAGGATTGGTTGGTTTGTTTCTTCCAAGTTAATTTTAGCTCATGTAGTAGGAAAGGTGGACTTTTTATTTCGTTATATATAAATTGTATTTTAATTTAGTTTTGTCAATTGACAAAATAGTTCTAATGTTATCCTTTAGCTGTTCAAGTTAGTCTTTCTTTCCATCATTGAAAAAATTTAAAAAATAAAAAAACAACAACAAAAATCAAATCAAACTTAACATATTGCTGACCATAATTAGAACATGTGTTTTAATGATAATGAAGGGACAAAATTTTGAAGTTGACATTACAAACTGAATTATTCAATTATTGTTTTTTTTTTAGGTTACATACTTAATTGTTAAGTTTTAGATGGAAATAAAAACAAAAGAATAAAATTGAAAATATTATGATGATAAAGAGATTATACATAAATCATCACCCAAGTGTTATGGTCAGTCATCTGGAAAAAAAAAATTGACAATGTAATTTTTTAATCTTATTTTTAATAGAATTTGAAGGTTTTAAATCTTATTTTATTTATGTTTTAGACTTTAAAATATATTATTTTAATGATAATAAAATATAAAATAAACATACTTTTTATAATTTTTAATTTTAAAAATTGATCCTATTTTAACTTAAAAATGGTGTAAATTTTGTCTAAAAAATAAGTATGAAATTCAAGTTTCATAGGAATTGAATTTGCAATTTTTTTTTAACTTTTACTATTCTCTCCTTTTGTCTAAATTCTAGTATTTTTTTTTTATCGGGGATCTATCAAACAAATTAAGTTTATCAGTTTTATTTATTTATAATTGAAAATGGAAAAGAAATGGATATTACACCTCAAATATTTAAAAAAATAAAAAAACAAGAACATGACAATTTAGATTATCAAATATTCACAATTTAGAATTAAGACAAATTGAGGGGAATGTAGGATTAAAGTTGGACTCACCGGTTAGTTTTTTCTGTATCAGGAAAGAAAAAAAAAACAAGGGTTGGATCACTGATTAGGGTGTGAGATTTTAGAGGAACATGGTCTTAAGGTGGACTCAGGTGCATGTGATTATACCCATAGTGTGAACATGGTTTATAAGGGAATTGTTTAGGAGTGTTTGGCTTTGCTTCCTCCAGATTAATTTAAGCTCAGATGGTAGAAACTAGAACGGATGTACTTTTATTTTTTATATATACAAAATATATTTAGAGTTAGATTTTTTTTAATTTGATAAAATATGAATTGATACTAATATTGTACTTAAATCCATATGAATATAGAAAATGTCTTTAGAAAAATTATGTCCAATTAAACTCAACAACATTTAAATTTAATTATTAATGTTGTACTATATCATATAGTTATGTTTAAAAAATGGAAAATGACAAGTCAGAACCTCATGAAATATTAATGTCATATTAAATTTTTTTAAAAAAAATTAATATTGAAATATAAAAGAATGAGTAATAAATAAATTTTAGTTATAAAGAGATTCTAATTTAACATTAATTTTCTTATTAGGTTTACCTGCATTTTCCCTTAAAAAGAAAAGTTCAAATGTTACCCCTTTAGCTGGTCAATTTGGTGTCTTCCTCTCTCTCTCTCTCTCTCCATCATTGAAAAACAAATAAATTCAAACTTAACATATTGCTGACCGTAATTGGAGCATGTGTTTTAATGATAAGGACGGAACAAAAAACTGAAGTTGAGATTGCTGAATTATCCAAATCATCACCAAAAGTCTTAAGTTCTAAGTTTTTTTTTTTAAATTACATACTTAAGCTGTAAGTTTTAGATGAAAATTAAAACAAAAGAGTGGCATTAAAAATATTATGATGATAAGAGATCATAAATAAATCATCTATTTGAGCTTTGAGGTGTCTTTCTCTTAATGGATAACATTGCTTTATAACATGTAAAAATTTGACCATAACTCATAAAATTGTAAATTTAAATTTTACTGTTAATGTGAGAATTTTGTTAATAGATGATTTATAAGTACCTTATAGATACTCTTAAGATATGCTCTGAATATAGTGAACTTCTAAAACTCAACTCACATAAATTTTCTTTGAGTGAAAAAAAAAACTAATGTTACTTGAGAGATCTTCAATCTAAATGTGAATATTTATATCTCTTGTAAATTGCTTATTAGTTATTACAACACCAATGATGCACTTTTTTTTTTTTTTAAGAAATTAAAGCGGAATAAGAGTACTGAAGTATATGGCTTATGAAAAACACAAAATCCCAAGTTCATTTGAACCAATTTCGATTCTAAGAGTGGTTATTTTTTCAACTCAAGGACAAGATCCAAATAAAGATGAACACAGGTCTAACTAACTTATTACTCAAAACTCAAAAGACTAGCTCACAACTACAAAAAAAAAAAAAAACCAAGATAGTTGGCTTTGAAGTTTTTTTTTAAAAAAAAAACATAATCACCTATCTCTATATTTTCATCGAGTTTATTTTCAGTTATTGTAATTTTTTTTAATATTTTTAGTCCTTATAATTTTAAAAAAATTGGGCAGCTTTTATTTTTTAAGATCCTATAGTTTTAGTTTTTTAAATATTTTTAATCGAACTGAAAATACTAAAAAAATATAGAGATTAAAAGCAAAATTTAATGAAACTATAAGGATAAAAAATTATGTTTTCTCTTTTCTATTACTTATAAATATTCTTTTATTAAAGATAATCTTATTTAAAATATAATTAAATATTAAATATGAGCACATTTCTTAATAAAAATTTACACCTTAATTTACCACGTTGTTACACTTATATAACAAAATAGAAACATGCTTCTAGAAAGCCTTAGTGCGCGAAACAAAAAGGAATTCCCCAAGGCCAATGGGAATTTTGCTGCGATGAATCCCCTGCTGTCACGCTTGTGAATTGCTTCAAACAGTTGTGAACTCTTAGAGTGTGTTTTTGACCTTTGGAGTTTGGACTTTTAAATAGTTAGGAATATAAAAGGATTTTTAATTTTGCCTTTTTAAAATCCAAAAAAAAAAACACTCAAGTTCAAGCTTGAACTACCTATTTAAGCCAATATTTATTTTAACCCTAAAAAACTATAATATTATATAGATTTGGATTAAATTTAAACTTTAAAATAAGTGTTTGTACTTTAATATTATAATTTGTTTCACTCTTTTTGAATTTTAAAACATTTTAATTTGTACTTTAGAATAAAATATAATAATGACAAATTTAATTTAAAAATAAAAAGGGCTTTCGAACCTAGCCCTGAACCTTGATTAATAAGATCCTAACTTAGAGAATTAATTGATTTTGGGATAACGAGGCTTTTAAATCTAAGTCTACCCCGCGGCTTTACTTCTAAATAAGGTGATTCAAATTCCAACATGAAGTTTGAAGTGAGATCTAGACACCTAAACCAACTCTATTTAAGGTTGTTTTAGCCCTCGAGACACCCTATAACCATGTCATAATGACTGGAAAGTAGAGCTGGTAATTTGAAAGGGTTGAACTTACTTGAATCAGACTCATTTTTAGGCCAATTTATTCAGATCTAGCTTAAGTATCATACCTTATTAAAAAAAACCATATAGCCAAGCCTAACCTTAACTTTTTTGGTGAGGTTTGGATTGGCCCATCGAGCTTGATCAAAATTACAAACTTTATATATATATAGAGCCAAAAATTTTAATGGTCGGACTTATTTGAATCAGATTTAAAATATTCTATCCTCTTAAAAATGCTCATATAACCAAACCCAGCCTAACTTTTTTCTGGTGGGTTTGGGCTGACTCATCGAGCTTAGCCCAAATTATGACTCTACTGCAAAGATCTAAGGTCATGTTTGGTTCATGAGAATATATGGGAATGGAGTGGGCATGGGAGAGGGAATCAACAATATAGATGTTTAGTGCATAGGAATACCCATTCCAATGCAGTAGCCCATTCCATCATTTAAGGCAATGGCTATTCTAAGGATCCATTCCTAGAAATGATTTTTTTAATCACCAAATTATCCATGATTATGACTTTTTTGGAC